GGGAACAAATGGAGGTGAAGGGCATAGTGAAAATCTGGGGAAAAATAGTATTTCAAGGAGAGAAAATTTAATACATAATATTCTCATGTTAGAATGAAGAGTAGTTAAGTACATCAAGGACTGCAATTAAAAAAGAAAAAAAGGATAATAAAATAAGTTGATCCCATTTTTATTGAAATGCATAGTTGTGTTTTATCCAGAATAATTATGTTAATAATATCATGCTTATGTGTTAGTCTTGTAATGAACTGTGGGTGTTTGTGGAAATGGAGCAATTGTAATGATTGCATCTATTATTATCTGGAAATGAAGAATGAGATTCATTTTATTTAGCTTTTAAGAGTTGGGCATCAAGTCTATTATCTGGACTCCCTTTGGAGTCAGTTGTCAGAGAAGCATTTCACAGTGTAAAGTGTCAAATGCAGTCAAGACTAATAGCCTTAGGACTTCCCTGTCCATTGCCATTGATTACAGAAAAAACAGACTATCTTACTAGATACAGAACATTGGCATGACTAAAGTTAGTTTATACTAATTTTACTTTAATAATATTTTCTCACATTAAATCTTCTTGCGATTAAGTCTTTGAAGTCTCTAACCACTATTATGTTTACTTATAAATACTCACTTCAAGGATTTTCAAGATCTCAAGTAAGCATTTACCCAGAAGAAAATTTGAGCAGATAGTTACTATTTCCTTGCTTCCTTCAAGAATGATAATTTGTAAATAGTTTGTTTTGTTCAAGTAGCAATTAGAAAAGCATTTTAACTACAAAAGATTGCCAGAGTAAAATTTTAATTAAACTGGTTAAAGAGGCTTTGTCACCAAGTGGAGTTCTCCTAGAGAAGAGCAATGGGTTCTACCAGAAAATGTTGCATTCCTGATCGATGTACCACATGGCAAAACCTTCATGAAATAACTGAATAGCATCTGCATAGCATTTACAGAAAACAGGAATTTAATCAAAAAGCTTTCCTTTTCAACAATACACCTAGGTCTTGTCAGTTCTGGTGGTCCTTAAATCTATGTCAGTCCTAGAACACAAGGTTGCAGAGATCCATTGTTCCAAGACAAGATTTTCCTTTAACTTTAGTTGCTGCAGCACCCAGAGTGTGAACAGAAATGTCTGTAGAAACAGAGATGATAAATTGTGCTAAATACACCACAGCTTTGCTGCAGTTAAGGTTTCCTTTCGTCAAGGTGCTGAAGAGTAAACATGATGCACTAAATCCATTTGCAAAGCTTTGGAAATAAAAAAATAAATGCTAAGAGTATCCAGCTGCTGGGCTTCCTACATCCATTGCAGAAAGGATCATAATTTTGTTGTAATTTGTATTTCCCCTCTAGTCCACTTTGTTTATGCTAACTTTCATCAAGAAAATTATATATATGCCCATGTTCTTCATCACTTCTGACTTTTTTACCTCCACCATCACACTGGGAGAAGCAGTTTGGATATTTATATCTCTTGTTGATGTACAGAACTGAAATGGTCCTGACTTTCAGAAATTTCACATAAATGCTGTCAGAGACTGAAAAGTAGGAGACACAGATTCTTAGCTTCACCTCTGGTGAGCCCTCTCTGCTTTTTTGTCCCCTGATTTCTTTTTATGTTGAAGGGAAAGTGCAAGTAAGAGAACACCACCTTTAAGAAACAAAGTCATAATATATCATCTTAGGAAGTGAGGAGCAGGACCTATCTGTAATGTTTTTCTAATTCTTAGAAACATGGATGTGAAGCTAGCATAACTTACTTATTTAGGTCCAAGTAAGGTGTAAGGGACAGCTGTGAGAGCTAGATTTAACATTTTGTCTTCACTGCTGTTAGACATGTCACTGTCCAAGAGACCCCTATTCCAATAGAGGAGCCAGCAGCCAACACATTTCTATAAGAAGGAGATGATAACTTTAGATGAAGGAGTTTTTTTTTTTTCGTTGAGACCTGTTTGTAAGGAATGTGCACCAGTAAGAAAGTTTTGGCTTTTTGAGCAACAGCAAACACGAGGAAAAGACTGCCTCCCTGGGACAACACTTGCTCTGAGAAAGAAGTACAATAAAAACAAATGACAAGTTTTCCTGGATAATATAATTCAACAACAGTGAAAACCCTCATTTTTCCCAGATTCACTTTCTCCCCAGGAGACTGGAATAGCTACCCCTTACCAGTGCTGGGAGGGCTACTTGACCCTTTATTGCCTCTGCCCAGTAAAGAGTTTGGCATGATCTTGTGCCATTCCACAGCTTTGCTGGCCCTGCGCTTTCAAGGCACTCTGTGTGCTTTGACACACTGATGTTGTGTGCAGGAAAAAGACATGATGTAGGGTTTACTGCCTTTTACTGCCTCTTTTGCCTCCTTTTAAGACAAGTAGTTATCACAGCAGTAGCCACTTCCTCTCCTCAGCTCAGCATCCAAGAAACCATCACCCTGAGCAGGCATAAAGTACGGCAGCAATGACAAGACTGTGTTTGTGGGAAGCTCTGCTGGGTGGATCTGGTCTGCACGATGATTTCTTTTTACCCAGTTGCTTAGGCTGATCTCTGTGCTAAGAAATTCACTCAGGTGCTTTTCTTGCGTGGCCTCAGAATGTTCTGCTTTGCAATAACCTCCTTCTTTCTTTCTCCATTTTCCTCATTTCTGAAATTGTGCATTTGCACTTTTGCTTGTTCTGCTGCTTTGCAGATTTGTATACCTTTTTCCAAATTTACCTCACAATTTTTAGCAGGTGCTCATGTGCCTTCCCATTACTTCAGGTCACCTCCAAGTACATGATCCCATGAATCAGAGAAAATGAAACTTTTATGTTTCTTCAAGGAAAAAAATTAAGTTTTCCTCAAATTGCTCCACCAGTTTGCAGAATTCATGAATCTGAATTTTTATTTTAAAGATCATGAAATATAAAATAAATATAAAATCTGTAGTCCAGGGGGCTTCTGTGCTAATTTGACACGTACAAAAATAAAGGGGAAAAGAAGGATCAATGCAGATCCCAAAAGCGACTTAACTGTTGATTTAAACTTTCATATTCTGTATCATGTGCACTTCAAAAGATGGTACACAGTTAAGGAAAATCTGTGAGAGCTTTGCATATTTTGGCATGCTGCTTTAGGGTACAGAATTGGGGTCAAACTACCAGATTAACGGTGTAAAAAGTAGAAGTCATTTCTTTCCAAAAGTCTCTAAGCAAGGACTTGCTTCTTTTAAGCAACAGAAATTAGGAATAACTTTATTATACAGGGTCTTATCTTTCTGCTTTTCATCAAGAAGCCACAGAAGCAGAGCTAGACCATAAACAGACCAGCTATTTAAAATAGATTAAAAAAGCCAATCCTAGGAACACATACATGTTTTTGCTGCAGATGTTTTGTGGCAGTTATGAAAATGTAAAAACACTGAGTCTCTTAAGATTAGACTACATTTGGGAATACTGTTTTATGAGCTGCGGAACACAAAGCCCATATAATTTTATGGTTAGGTATAATGACGTGATGCCTTTGTTTTACTTGTGCTATACTTATTAATGAAATCTCTCCAACAAATAAATAAATCTAAGTGACTTGATTGCTTAATATTATGCTATATTTGGCTAACATTGTAATATTTCTAACCTACCAATTTTTTCCATAGTATTTTGCTGATTTTGTCACTTTCTTAATAGAAAATCAATGCTGTAAGTTCTCAAGAGTTATGATTTTTTTTTCTTTAAGGAAGCATATAAAGATTAAAATTACTGTTCAAGAGAAGAGTGAAGCTAGTAATTTTTTTTGTTATTTTTTTTAATCACAAAGAAAGAAACAAAGCTGATCTAGAGACCAGAATAATTCTCATATGTGTGTAACAGTATCTATTTAGTACTGTACTAATGGTAGATGATGTTAGACAATAAAAATTCCCATGCATTTTTGAATAACTGTAGAAAAAACCCAAAAACAAAACAAAACAGAAAAGCATTTAAATAATACATCCTGTTGCTCTAAAATACTGAAGATTTTTAGAAAACTTTGAGGTTTCTTAATTAATTTAAATATGAGCACTCAAAAAATAAAACATAATTAGATAAAAGTCATTTGAGATGTTATTAATCTATTTTTTTAGACAAGAGTTTGAAATAGTGTTATTAAACTAAAATTATCATAATTGCTTACAGTTTTGGGCTCTCCGTCAGTTTAATAGAAGACAATCAGGTACATGTAAGTTTTCTTGAAATGCTATTTGACTAGGATTTGTAAGGATTCTTTTCACGGATTATTATTTCTAGAGAAAATCTGTGTTTGATTTCCAGGACAGTTATAATTCTTTTTAAACATAGCTCTGAAAAATATTAAACTATTTTTATGTTTTTGAAATTAAAAATTATTCTAAGAAAATTAAGTTCAAGAAATTATTTGAATATTTAAACAAATGCATAGTATCTGTACTGCAAGTATTCATCAGCATGTAATGATTAAATCTATACATGAGTAAAGTTATTGAGGAAATGTGAAGTTTTTGTCATAAAAATGTAAATGCACAAACACATTTCTGATCATAAAGAAATGTCAGCTTTTTAGTGGTAAATATTAAGAGATGACATAGTGTAATTGTCTATTTATTTTCCAATAAAGATGACTAATCAATGTGTAGATATCATCATATGACCAGATGAATTTTGGACCTTTATCTTAATAAAAGATAAATTAGCACAAGAAAAAATTAAAGTCTTTTAAAAAGTTATACTTTAACAAGGTTTGAGAATTTCAGATGAGAAACTGATATGATCAAAGTATATCAGTATAGATTTGACATTACATTTAACCTTAACAACAATTAACAGTCATAAATGTTCCATTCATATTTTTTGGCCAAAACTTTATAATTTACATTTTCATCTTGGAGAGATGACTGAAATTCTCTGTTATTAAATAACCACATGATTGCTAATAAATTTATCTGCACCTGAAATAAAGAGAATCATGCATATATGTGAATTTCTGTTTATTTATGTGTCCATATATTTTCCAGGGTGCACTACTTGAATGAACTCTCATTCTTCAACTCTTTTCTTTTCAAAAGTGAGTGACCATACTTTACTGCTTCTAACTTTGAACAACTTTCATATTTAGCACTGCTTCTGATAAATGGTTGACTTCTTTTCATATTACATGTTCGTCATTTCCAAGCCATTTTAACACATTTCTGGAAACAAATATGTATCATATTCCTCAACTTGAAAACTTTTGACAGTTTCAATGTCAATGAACTGTTTTAAAGATGCTTACATTTGTTAATGTTTCAGAGAACATAGTCTAAAAAAAAAAGCACATCTTTATGTGACTAAAATGTCCTTTTTTTTTTAATGTTCAAATATTTTATTATTTATAACTCTATGTTCAGGGTTTTTTAAAGATTCTATGCTGGTTATTCAAGGACAATTATGCATCTTAAAATTGGCAGATAAATAGGTGTGCCCTTGAGTATTCATTCTAAAATTAATTAGAAAATTAGAATGCAATTAAAGCTGAGAGAAACATAATAAATTAGACATTAAATAACTTCTTAGATATCTTTGAATTTCTTCTTAAATAACAATGCTTTTGAGATGTGTAATTCTTTAATTCATCATTATAAAGCACTTAATGGTGTAGCTTGGCCATCCTTAAATTTCCTGTATCTTTTGCCTACTGAATTAAATTAAGCTGCTACTCAATAATAAACAGAATAAGAGAATATGGGACTTAATATTTACATGCTGAAAATCAGGATAAATAATGCATCATATGTATATTAAATATGATGCTGTTGTGTTCTATCTGTGTATACCCAAAGCCATCTAAATAGGGCAGAGTTTTTTAAGTTTCACAAGTGTATCTGATTTAAATGGAAGACCATGGCTCCTTGAATATCTCATTTTATATGATACCATAATCCAATGAGTGAACTTCATCACCACCGATTTTCATAGATCTTGGACATGCTGATAATTTCTTGGATTTCCCAACTCTCTGCAAGATGGAGGCAGGAGTAAAAGCTCATAAAAAAACAAGTAAATAATTGTCAGAAGTTTCATAGACCCAGCTTCTGAAAACAATTCAAGGTGGTCACCATGCCTCTAGGGTGCTGAAAATCCCTTTGCATACCATGCAAGCAAAGAATTAAATTACATATCCAATAACAGACCAGCACATGAAAAACCAAACCCAACTCCATCCTACAGAAAGCTGAAGATACACTTGATAACACTTTTTCAGCTTTTGCCAAAATTACAGGAAATTTAGCAAAGCATTTAACTCCTCAGATTAGGACAACAAAGGCTGAAATTGCAAGGCAGTTCATATAGACAGTGATTTCAGTAGAGCAGTATAGAAAGCTACAATTTTTAAGACAGAAAACTTGGCAGTATCTACGCTGGTCAGGACACAGGCTGAAGTGCCAGATCCCTTTCATCCATATCCTATCACTGCTTGGCTTGGTTTTTGATGTTGATACCTTCTGTAAAAACACATTTCATTTATACTGAGATATTAATAACTCTGCCTTTCCTTAACCAGCCATGTAATTAACCTATTAGTCCTGTAAAATGACCAATAAAGCAAGCATGAGAGGAAATTCGTTTGTTTCTAAAATTAATTGCTACATGTTTATATAACAGTTCTAGAACCCTACAAAATTGGAAGCTGTCATTAATTCACAGTTAGTTGGTTGGTTACACTTACAGTGAAGCCTGAGACAATGATTGCTTTTGTAAACTCTCAACTCATATGCTTATGCATGTTTCAGTAGAGTTTAACACTACTAAATGCTGGCACTATGTTTCAAAAATTACAAAAGTAAGCTTCAGCTCTTGCTGACTTTTAGTATTTAGGGATCAGCATCTGTACTCATCAAAATGAGGGGGCTTTTTAATGAATAAGGATAAATTGCCAAAATACAGCAAACCTAGGATACATTATGAGAGGTAAATTTGTTTATACAATATCTGAGGCATTGACGTATGCTTTTAATGCATGGAGTAAGATTTTAACTTTAGAAGTTTTTCACTAGTTTCCCATATTCATGATGAAAATTCATCTGTCTAGTAATGTCCAAAAAGATAAGTGATATAATTATACTGTCACATTCATTACATGAAGGAGGGTACTCAAAAAGGTCCATTTGTCTGACCCTTTAGTCTATATACCCCATTGCCATAATGTATAACAACTGCATTTTTTACAAATTGTCAAACAACTTTTGTTCCCATCACACATTAAACAAGAACTATGTTCAGGATGGGCTGCATACAGAACACTGTTTTCACTGTTAAGATGTGATTAAGGTACAAAACCTCTCAGCCTTATCAAAACAGTCAAAGTTATGGGCATACTGCTTTTCCAATACTTTTCCAATAACAACTGAATCCAATCATATGAGAGGGGTGTACCTTTTTAGTTATATTAGCACCAATTATACTCTTTACCAAAATATTTTCTCCTGAGTTAAATTTCTGTTAGCCCTGCAAGAGAAGAATTGCTTCTGAAGCTCTTTCACTCTGAAAAAATTACTTTCTGAATTCAGTCAACCATGTGAGTTTCTTTCATGGAGATTGTTTAAAATATGCTACTAACTAGTTGATATTATGGTATATGCATATTCAGCAGTGCTATACAATTCTATTTTGGCTCATTGATTGGATGACTAGAATTTTTATAAATAAAGGATGGGGAAATCAGAGAGTTCTGAAGATAGCACATAGAATGGCATTTGTGAAATCACAAATATAGACATCAGCAGTACAGATATTTTCATGTTAGCTAGTTGTCAAGACTTTTTCACAGTGAGTGGAGTAAAATTGGCACTTTCAAAGCATGAGTCATCTCATCCTAAAATAGATGATTAAAATAGGTCAGATGAATCACTATGTATTGCTCTCTATTGACCTTGAAGAGAGCATTGGGTTACTAGTTAGTGTGTACACATATAAACTGCAGAACACATGAAGCTGGATGAGAGGGAAACAACCCAAGATATTTCTGGAAGCAATATTTTTACTACAGATTTATGAGCAGGTATGAGAAGAGTAGACTAATATTTCCTAAGGGGAAAAAAAAAAAAAAACCCGAAAGATTGTTTGCATCTTTATGGTAAATAAGCTAAAAGAGAATATATGCGATTTAGAGGGATGTCTTATATCTCTGTGTAAAGCATATGGATATCAAAGTATTTTTCTGGCTCTAGAAGGTACATAAATTCTTTGAAATATTATCATAGTGTTTCAGTACATCATAACCATATATATTGAAATCAAATGTCCTTTGAGCTTCAACACCAAGACATAGTATAGTAAATGGTTCATTTGAGAAAATGCAACTACAAGATTTGAAATACACTTAAATTAATTTTGAAAATTCTGATTGGCTGAAAAATGGCTTTGGAGTAATCTGCAAATATTTCAACAGAAATAAAATGTAAGTTGTATACATGTACTGAGGTTTTAACTGAAGAATGTCATAACTGACCCTTAAATTATAACTACAGAGTCCTTACATAGAATGCCTTAGCCTCTTCTTGCATCTCCTGCCATTAATTTACTCCTGTGCAGACTCTCACAAGGGCACTTCTTGAAATCAAAATCCAAAAATCATTCATCCTGACATATCTGCACGGCTTTATCCCCAGACTATCAGAATAGAAACAGAACCAGTAAAGGCAGCATTATATGTCTGAGCTGTGCCTTTTTTCATCTTCTCTCTGTATGACCTTCAGGTAGACTCAAAACCTGCATTCAAACAGCTTTTTTTGCTTTACTTCGCCTTCAATTTACTTGTCGTGATGTACTACACTGTTAACAGTATTTGCTGCTTTGCTACAAATGAAGACCAAACTATTTCAAACCCGCCTGACTACAATAGATCTCCACTCAGATTTAAACAAAACTGTGCTAAATCTGATTTTCCTAAGACAAAGAACTGCTGTCAGTTTTTTAAGTCAAAAGGTGTTAAATGCACTCATTACCTTTGAAACATATTCCTAACAAGTCTAAAACTGATTGAGGCAAGCAGTGTTATTAATTTTTCAGTGGCTCTTTACTTCCAGGAATTGTATAACTATGGCAAATTCTACAAGTTTTCTGTGCTTGTGTATACATTAAAAAGATAAGTAGTGTAAATTTGTCTTTATTAAAGTAAATTTTCTTTCTAGTACCTGGTACAGGCCTGTGGATGTGGGATTTAGTATTAGAATGCTGTTGATAACACCCTTATGTTTTAGTTGTTATTAAGTAATGCTTAGTCGAAGTGAGGACTTTTCAGTTTCCCATGCTCTTCCAGTGAGGAGGGCACAAGGAAGCTGTGAGACAGCATGGCCAGGCCAGCTGATCCAAACTGGCCAGAGGGATATTCCATAGCACAGAGCATCCTGCTCAGTGCATGAGCTGGGGGGAGTTGGTCGGGAGACATCGATCGCTCCTGGGGACCGGCTGGGCATCAGTCAGTGGGTGCTGAATAACTGCACTGTATGTCTCTTGTCTCTCTTGGGATTTGTTCCTCCCTCTGTCTTTTTGTTGTCTCTCTTTTCATCACCATCATAACCATACCATCATAATTACTGGATTGTATTTTAATTGCTGTATTTTAATTAAACTGTCCTTATTTTAATCCATTAGATTCACCTTTCTTTTTTTTCCCAGATTCTTCTCACCATCCTACTATGAAGAGGGGAGTGAGCAAGGAGCAGCTCAAGGTTACAAAAGTTTGCAAATTGGAAAAAAATTTTCCAAATAGCTGTGAAGTTGAGAGAAAGTAGAAACATTTGATCTCCATATTTTCAACTATTTTCTGACTGAAAAGAAAATGAAAAAAAGGGAATATGTCATCAAAAATAGTATTTCAGTTCTTAGAATTTCTGAAATCAGTTTTTTAAAAAGGAGTTAAAACAAAAAAAAAAACTTTAAAAAAAACCCTCTCTTCCTACAGTAATTATTATCCTTGGTCCATCTTAGTTAGCTGTTTTTGTAATGCAGGCCTAAAAAAGCCAAGCATAAGAGCTAGATATAGGAATCCAGACTCATATTTCATCATAAGAACCTGAGTTAAAGCTTTACAATATGTCCAGAATATCATCTTTCTAATGCATAACTTAAGTGCAATTTGAATATTGTTGTTGGATGCTGAAAGTTTCTAGAGCATACTGTATCAAATACTAATTCCTTATGTTAAGCCAAGTTGCTTGCTGATAGTTTTGGAATCAATGGTTGGGAAGAAATTAAATGTGTCAAAACAAGGGAGTATTCTATAAAAATGAAAAATGAAGAATTTTCATGTAATTTGTTTTTGACAACCAAACTGAAAAAATTAATATCTTTCTAGGTCTGGATATTTTTGTCATAGAAATTCAAAGTCCACTAAAATCAAAGGCAGTTTTTCCACAAGCTCATCAAATTTTTCATTGAAATGTTGGTGTGCCATTCTATGGCATTTTGATAACAGGAGGGATTTGAGCAATCTGGGAATGAAATGAAAAAAAGAATGAAAATAATGATTTATCTAAGGAAATAGGCAATATATCTTTGACAGAAAAAATCCTGACATACACTCAAAGATTTATATGCCAGTGGGAAAAGTGGGTGATTTGAAAATAAAGAGACAAATATAATTATATTTGGTTGAAAAACTACAAGTACATGAAATACATAAACCTGCACACTATACCTGTCAATTAAAAATAATGACAGCATATTCTATTGCAGAAGTATTTCATAACAAAAGAAATTAAAACCTGAATAGTTTCATGTATCCTTCTTAACTAACTGCTATGTGAACAATAGCAATTCTTTTTTTTTTTTTTTTTTGTAACAAAGGAGCTAATTTTTGGAAAGGAAGGCAAAAAAATTAGAACCAGCTCTGTAGGGTTCACACAATAATATTTAAAAAAACAGCTGCACTTTAGTATCCACCAGGACTAAGCAGCAGTCACTGTAATTTAGGTTAAACTTCAACAAAAATTACAAGGTGGTATAAGCTCCATCACAATTTCTGTGTTTAATGTTTTAAACAGCAGCTCATTTGAACCTAAATAACAGTTTATCTATGCATATTTCATTATAGAAGGAATGTACAACACAACCTAAAAACCTAAGTTTTGACCTTGTGCAAAATCATTTCAGAGCTCTGTGGAAATGCTGGCATTGCGATATGGACACCAAAAATGACACCAGTAAAGAATTCCTGTACCCCCACAGGTTATATTGTCAGAGAAATGCAAAGAAACACTAAAGAGAAGAAATAATTGCATACAGTTAGCACTTTCCAAAGTTTTCCATTCCTAGAACTAACTTTGCATTTTTTGACTCATCATCACACATCTGCCATTGAAGGAAATAATACCCACTGAACTACAGGAGGCATTTAGTGATTCAAAGGTAATAATAATATCCATGTAAAATTTCCAGTTTTTAAAGCCATGCAAGAGTGTTTTTCTTTGCAGGGGTTTTTTAGCTCCTTCCACCAAGACAATTAAGTCTGACATCAAAGCAATTTTTTTCAGAAATACACAGTATTAGCCAGAGGAGCAAGTAGATTCAATCACAGCTCTGTTCTGTCTGGATGAGTAGATGTTTTTCTCTGTAAAAACAAAGTCTATTCCAGAAAAATATATTCTCATTATGGAAATAAATTCTCCCTCTCTGGCCTCTTTTTACCTGCTCTCTCACTAAATCTCTCCTTCTCTCTGTAGCTCACCAGCTCCCTAATTTACCTCTCATTGTGCCATAGTTGATTGAGAAAAACACTTAAACTGATGCATTTCAACCGCCAGCAAGCTCAGTAAATCAGTCAGCCTGCCCTCCTTCTGGAACCACCTCAGTTCAGCTCCTTAGAAAATAGTTATCCCTCAGCTCTCACCACTTTCCCCTGCAGTCTCTTCAGGGAACCTAAAGAATTCTTTTCATGTAATAAATCCAGAGAATAAACAAACAAATCTCTTCATGGCATCAAATAGTTTTTATGCTTTCTACCTAGGTAAGCAATTCACATCTTCAGAAGATTTTACCCCTCTATTTCTAGGATCTATTTCTATCTTTGGATCCACAGGGCTTGACAATGACAGCAGACAGAGCTTTCCCAGTTGGAGTACAAATTGGTTTTATAGACAATACCTAGTGAGTTTTTACTCTTTGGAATACATAGATTTAAGATCTCTACTAGCATCTGTTCTAAGATTGTCATATCCTGTTTTTGGCCTGTCAGGTGTACAACTAGAGGGAGGGAATAATGAAGTTATCATTGTGTATTTCATGTTGTCTAATACAAAAAGCTTTGAAATTATTTGACCTCTTACTATGACTGTTTTAATCCCAGCTCGATGAAAAATATTTCTAAGAGAATTTCACTTTGCAGTTATTTAATCATGCAAAACACAGCTTTTCCAAGGACCTTGATGCACTGTTGTGTAAATATACGATAATATTGATCCTGCTCCTGGCAGGGAAATGCACAGTGGGAAAGGAAGGCTTAGAACCAGGTGTTGTGAATTCCCCTCACATCCTGTCTTCTCCCTCTCTGTACAAATGCATTCATCTGTGAGAGTGGCAGCAAGCCTTTCCCAAAAAGGGATATATCAATTTTTTTTTAATATGCTTGGCTGGCAAGTAGAGTGTGTAAATAAGGAAGGTTGCATGCAGCTTTAAATATAGCAAAAGGTAGGAAGAAGCTGAGGTTAAGATCATTTTAGAGATTATAATAACATGATAAGCTTCATATTTACGGTACTACAAGGATGTACTTTGGCTGGCTGGTGCGTAGCTCAACTGTGCAGCTTGACTGACCAGACAAATTCTGACTCTTCAGAGAAATGGTCATTTACTTGGTTTATATAGCCCAAGATCTTACCATGTAGGCTTCCTTCCACTCACAATCAATGAAGCTGCTTTGCTGTTTTTCATGCATTTCACATGTCAATAAGGAAAATAGAGAAAAAAGATATGAGGAATCATCAGGAGTAACTGTTTTGGAAACAGAGATAAATACAGCCTCTTGAAGTGATACAGGAGCAGGTGTTGATTGTTGCACATGCATTCAGCATCAAAGCTGGTTGCTGAAGACTTTATATAAAAGATTTATTTTAGGCCTGAGAACATTGGTTTCCATAATCTGGTTCAAGACTGTTCTCCTCTTTGTTTCTTATAGAAGTTTCAAGTTCTTTATTATATATAGAAAAATGAAAAAAAAAAAAAAAAAAAAAAAATAAAAAAAAAAAAAAAAAAAAAAAAAAAAAAAAGTAATGTAGAAATGTTTACAAAATAAGATCCTAAAAATATCTGTCTAGATCTTTTGTCATACATATTCTACTGAAGGAGCAGATATATCAATTTTATAAATAATAGAAATCTTAGGTTCCAAACTTATACAATGTGATGTGCACATAGGTCTTACTGAAATTGCATAAAATTCTGTCACTAACTTCAGTTTCCAAACAATTGCATGCTGAAAATATCAAATATATGCTCTTAATAGAGCAGAAAATAGTGAAGGAACACAAAAAAACTGAAATTCATATTTTTAAAAAATCAGTTGGCAAATACAAGAGGACAAAGTACCTGTCAAAACACACTGAAGAAGGAAAAGAGAATCCATACACAACTTTAAATCAATGTGGATTTTAAGTCATGAATTCTAAAGAAGTTCATAGAATTTCTTTGATTCTAATTTATCTTTTGACATGTGCTGATTTGGCAGTTATTATTTGATTTCAAATGCTGATACTGTTTTTCTTCCTAGAAAAATAATTTTTTTCTCCTTATACCAGAAAAGCATATTCCTAACAAATTTCTTCCATGTTGACATATTTTAAATGGTTGCACCATAGGTGTCCTATATGATCCATCACTTACTCAGACCTTGAAAGAGTAATAATTTGTTCTACACTCATCCAGAACCTTTTAATTATTTTGAGTAGATAATATAATGAGATTAAGATGTATAAAATGTAAATGTTGCAAAAAATGTCTGAAAGAAGAGACGCCTTTAATGTCTGCAACCCAAATGTGTTATGCAAAGAAGGATTGCACATACCTTTATGAATCAATTTTTTTTCTAAAGCTAAGATTTTTGTCATCACTACCTTTTAAATATGAAGGGTTGCACTGTCTTTTCTTTTTAATTTAATTAATTTAATTTGAAGGTCTAAGTGAAATTTAGGAATTAAAGCTATTCTATTATTCACTTTTAAAAAATGAGAAATTGCCACCGAAAAATGGCAAAGGTAATAAAAGAGCATTTGCACTGTGTGGTGTCAGATGTTAGCTTGCCTTGAATCAAATCAAACCACGTGAACCACCCCACTAGTTCTTTGTCATTATCTTATACTGAAGTAACCTGCAATCCAAGAATGATTTTTAAGGAAAAGATGAGATTTGTCTCTCCTATTTTTACTTACCCACAAGTCAGATGTTGGAGTGAGTCACTCCAAGATGAATAAAGAAAAAGGAGGAAAAGGTAAAATGTATACATATGTTAAGGAGAGGTTCATCTGACCTATTTTAGACCTCTAGATACTTCTCCTTTCAGGCTACTTGCCTGAAAGTAAATAAGCACACAGGAGAGGTGCAAAGAGTCTAGCAACTTAGGCACTTCAGCTAGGAATATAAAAATGTGGCAGAGCTGCTGGTGGGTCTCTGAGCCCCAAAGCTGGGGAAGTTTCAAATACTTCCAAATTTCAGGGAAGTTTCAATTAAGCAAAACAGTAGAAAAAGCATATCTCTCAAATGAATGGAAGCCCTTGAAGACATGGGAAGGTCTGAACTAAGCTAGTTGGCAAGCAGAGGCACCGTGAGCTGTAACATCTCTCTGTTCCAATCTTTATCCAAGGGCTGCTGGGGCAGAAATGCTCCTCATGATGCACTTCTTTTTGGT